CTCCCTTCAGGGAAGAGGGAAATTTGGCACCAAAAAGCCCCTCCATCCCTTCCCACATCTCTCCACCACGTCTCCGCTTCACTTCTCACTTGTTTTGACATCAAGTACTTTCCCCAAAAAATATTAGTCACAACTTTGGCTTCAACCAGCCAACTCTTAACCTTCCTCAAAGTGGTTTGCAGGGGTGACGTTGTAATGTGTGATGGAGATGGGGACGGGTGGGCGGATTCAGCCTTTCTGGAAGGTTCTGCGTCGAGGTTTGGGAGCCCTAAAGCTGCTGCCTGCTGCTCTAAGGGAATCCCAAAGGACCTGCCAGCAGATCCAGGGAGATTTGCTGGGTCCATGGAATAACACAAAGTGTGAGGCTGGAAAAGCAGGACATGTGGTGGGGGTGATTGTCAATGGAGCTGAGTGAGCAGAGGATGAGTACGGTGTAAAGCTGACTAATCCGTGTTGAGGGGTGTCCAACTTGAACCAGCTGCCTAAAATCTGGGTTGGGAGCAATAACAGCTCTGTTGAGCAGTTCAGCACCAAGAGGAGGGAAAACCCCAAGTGGCATGTGGGATCAGGTATGGATTCCTGGGAATTCCTGGGAAGGAAGGGGTGAGGGACGCTTGGGTTTGGCAGAGCTGTGAAATCGTGTTCCAGACCCACAGCAGCTGCACATGAGGAGCCTGCAGTGGCTGTGGGATCCTGGGTGAACCCAGCCCTGCCTTCCCTGTGCTTCCTCAAGTAATTATTCACACACCTTGCACCTTAATGAGAACCTGCTCCATTTTCTCATCCCTCTGCTCTGTGGCTCTTCCCTCATGGCTGCTCCTTCAGAGCTCTTTGCAAACCCCATCTGCTAAAGGGCTTGGATTTTCTTTTTAAAAGGAGAAATCATTGGAAATTAGTAGTTTCTCTGTGCATTATTATGCTTATAATCCTCTAATTTGGTAATGGGGCTGTAATCACAGCCATGCAGGGTGAGGAGCAGAGCCAGCCCAGAAAGGTGCCCTGGGGATTCCCAGGCACAGCAGGCACAGCATGCCCAGACAGAGCGTGATCCCATGGCAGGAAAGGCAGGGAGAGAGAGGATGGACCTCCCAGCACTCCCAGGGATGGAAAACCACAGTCAAACACAGATCCTGGGTGAGGAGCCCTGAACCTGAAACAAGAGATGTCACCGTGGGCAGTGGCAGACCCTGTGCCCAGAGCCTGTGTCTGTCAGCAGCAATTGAGCTGGACAGCCACATCCCTCCCCAAAAAGTCAAGGGAAAACAACAAAGTCAAGGGAAAACAACAAATGCCATCCCTTTGCCAGGGATACTTCCTGCTCAGGAACATTTTTCAAGGCAGGTGAGTTCCCAGGATGCAGAGGAAGGCGAGGTCAGGCATGTGAGTGAGGCCCTTCCAGCCCCAAATCACAACCTGCTGCTCCTGAGGCTGCTGCCCTGCCCATTCCCACTGCAGGATTTTCCCCCTTCCAACCCTGTAGTGAGGGAAATTGCTGCAAATGTGCAGCTTGCTGAGGGTAACGTGTGGTGCCATACCTGGATAAAACACCAAGCAGGGACTTCCAGATTGTTAGACTGGAAAAGTGAGGGGAGCTCACTGGGATCTGCAGAGCCTGGCTGTCCAGGCAGGAAATCCAGCTGTGCTGGGGCTTGTGGCTCTCAGGGAACTGCTCATTGCCACATCCTGCATCCTGTGAAAGGTCTCCTGTTGTGCCACCCTTCCAGGCTGCAAGGTGCTGGCAACAGGGACCTTGCTCTCAGCAGGGCTAAACCCAAGTAAAGCCCTGTAAGCACTGTGGAAAGGAGGCTGGAGCAGGTCTGGCTGATGTGGGAGATGGGTTATATTCCAAATAATGCTAAAACTCAGTCCCTGTGCAGGAGAGGTGGACGGGAGAGGTTCCCAGGGGCTGAAACCTCAGCCCTGATGGGCAAACTGGAGTCAGGGATGTCTTCACTCAGCACAGCTGGCTCAGAGATCCAGGGAAAACCCTGAGCCTTGAGAACCAAGGGACTACAAATGCAGAGCAGGGATGAAAATGATGAAAATGAGACAAAGTCACCACTTCCCAAAACCTTCACAGTGAAGGAAACACCTCCCACTGTCTGGAGGATCCATGGGAATATTACAATATTTGTTCCAAAAACATGACTGGGTGGATCCAGACTCACTGACGCAGACACAAGCAGCTAATTGAATTCATACGTAGGAACCCTGGACACCATCTGGCCTCAATAAAACGTGGGTCCGGAGCTGTTTCTTAGCAGATGGTTCCTCATTTTCATAATCTGAAATCAAAAGATCATTTTTCTATCTGGAGATCAAAGGCACCTAATGTCTCCTCGGTCGAGGGTTACAAAGCAAAACCTGTGTCCTCTGTTTTGGCATTTGGTGCGAGGCTGATGGGGGTTTTCCCCTGAAACCTCTGCTCAGGCTCCGGGCAACCACATCTGGGCAGCAGCTGCAGATGTTCACAGCTCTCCAGGGCTGGGCTTTGTTTCCATCATGGGGACGTGCAGTTTATAAAATCAGAAGGGACAGCTGTAATAAACTTGTGTGGCCATTTCTGTTTCCCCAGACTACTGCAGTACAGCCCACGTGAATGTTTGGGGAGGAAATGATTCCTTTTGCCTTAGAAGAAGAGCTCAGAGCCCTGTCTGACCTCCCAGAGCCCAGCAGCCCTGCAGCCCCGTGTGTGAGGCCAGCACGGTGGCCGCTCTGATGTGGTGGTTGGGGTGTCCTGTGCAGGGCCAGCAGCTGGACCCGATGATCCTTGTGGCCCCTCCCAGCTCGGGATATCCTATGGTTTTCTGATGCCTGTGGGAGACACCCCTGCAGAGGAATGAGATCAGCCTGGAGAAAAGGAGCTCAGGGGGATCTTGTGGCTCTGCACAGCTCCTGAAAGGAGGGGACAGCCAGGGGGGCTCTGCTCCCAGGAAACAGGGACAGGAGGAGAGGGAACGGCTTCAATTCAGGAGGAATTTCCCTATGGAAAGGGTGGTCAGGCCGTGGCAGGGGCTGCCCGGAGAGGTCTGGAGTGCCCATCCCTGGAGGTGTCCGAGGATGGCAAGGTGGGGATCGGGCACAGCTTGGGCTCGATGATCTCGGAGGCCTTTTCCAGCCTCGGTGGTTCTGGAATTCCGGGAGTCCGGGCTCCTCCTCGGCGGGTGCGGGTGGGCGAGCGCTCGCCTCCCCGGCGACGTCAGCGCCGGCACAGCATGGGAGGAGAGGGGGGCGAGATGCTTCTGTGGAAAGCGCTTCCACACCCACCCCAAAGCCTCCGGGACAGACGTGATCTTTGCCACCTAAGAACGAGAGGTGTGTGGTTACTCGGAGCAGGTCGTAACAAATTGAGTCCTGCTCACAAAGCTCATTTTCCAGCGGGTACCCGTGTGCTCAGGGCCGCTCTCGTGGGCCCAGGTGGAACCCAGAGGCCCTCCCGTGCTGCCAGCCCACGCTGCATCTCAAGCACTGATGCACGAGGTGGATATTTGCGCCGGGATCAGCTCCCAGAGGAGCTGGAGCTCTTCCCTGCTGTGCCTGCTGCAGTATGGAAATGATGCTCCCGGCAGACAGCTGAGTCCCACCTCGGTTCCCATTCACCTGGAGATGAAAGTGCTCTGGCTGCCAGTGTAGGCGGGGCAAAACTATTTAAAAACCTCATTAGAGAAAGTATTTGGGGAAGACAGCAACACCCTCAGTTGTGGTTTGCTCCAGGACTTCTCAGCCAGATCCCTGCTGATACAGAGGGAAGGGCACTATGAGAGACATTCCTGTCAAATACTACTCCTCGTGGGGATGCCTTGGGTGTCCTTTGCCTTCCTCTCCGTCCTGGTGGGCTGGGTTTTACCTAAACCTGAACCTTCCCCTCCAGGTGGTGTTTTGGGGGCTGGAATCAGGGCTGTGTATGGCACAGAGGGGTCCAGGAGTGATGTAGGAGGGTCCCAGCTCCATGCTGGAGGAACGCAGCCAGCAGAACTTTGTGTGATCTTGATCAGGCAGAAATCCACCATGAGTATTTCCTATTCCATTTAATTCCTGTTTGTGCTTATTTCAGCTGAATTTGCAGCAGGAGTAATGCCCAAGCCACATCTGGCTCGTGATGCACATGGGATCAGACTGGGAGTTTGGGAGGAGGTGGATCTGGATTCAGAGGTTTGGCTTCTTATTTAGAAAATGACGGGTTGCATTCTCCCACGGCTGCTCCAGACTGCCCCAGAGCTCTATGATATTCCTGGCCAAGGAATGGTTTTTTCAGTCTGCCTGACGAGGAAACGATGTCATGTGTATGGCTTGTCTGGCCTCGTGCACCTGCACTTCCCCTTCTGCCTTCATTTTCTTTGCATCCCATTTATTCCAAGGGGCCAAATGTTCATTAAGTCCTGATGAGCTGGAGTGCCAGGAATCCCTTTTCCTCCCCCAACACCTTAAGCAGCCCCAGTCAATACAGACAAGTGCAGCCCTCAGCCAGCTGAGGGACACCCCAAGCCCTCCAAGCAGGTCCCATGGGATCCCACAAAGACCAGAATGAGCTGAGGAAGGCCACGTGCAGCACCTGGGCTTGCTGTCCCTTGGCTCCAGCCACAGGAGCTGGTGGCATCTTGGCAAAGCCCACTGGGTTCCCCGTGGGCCCCTTCCCAGAATCACGTGGAATCACAGAATCAGCAAGGTTGGAAGAGATCTTTGAGATCACCCAGTCCCACCATCACCCCTAAACCATGCCCCCCATCCAGACAGCTCTTGAGCACTTTCAGGGGTGGTGACTCCACCACCTCCCAGGCACACTGCAGCCCCCAGCTCCCCACACTGCCCTGAGGAGCAGCCCCTGCTGTGCTGATGGCATCTGCAGCTTGAACCAGCTCCCCCCAACCTGGCCCTCAGGTGCCTCACACCCCGTGGGCAGGGAGGTCACACAGACACTGTCCCAAAACCTTGAGCTGAGAGGTCAAGGTTTAACTCACTCATGTCCTCACATGAACTGCAGGAGGAACACACTCCTGGGCTCTTCTGCTGCCTCTCCCAGCTTTATTTTATTATTATTTTTAGGGGTGGGTGTGTAAGTTTTTTGACTCAATTAGCAAGTTGAGAATATTCTCTGTGTTAATATTTGACTCAGACATGATGCAGTTCAGCCCCGTAGCTGTTGTTACCTGCATCCCCCGAAAGAACAACATCTCCCCAGCCTGGGAGCCTCAGTGGTGCTGATTCCTGCCGGGGTACGTGGGTGCCAGTGGAAAGTAAATAACGTGGTATTTTCCAAGTGGCAGATCTGAAGGCACCCTGCTTTCCTTGCTTTGCATACTCACAGAGCACCATCCTCTCTGCTTCCCAGATCTGAAAGCCAAGGCAGAGACATCTGATGGGGCTCCAGCGCTGACTCACTGTTTGATGTGAGGCAGGAGGAGGGATGTGATCAGATCCCATTGTGCAGAGCATCCACCAGACAACGCCAGCAGCGGGAGGAGAAGCGATTCCTCATCCTCCCTGCCCCTCCAAACCCTGCTGTCACCCCTCGCTGTCCCCTGCCCCCCTGCAGCAGCCAGGGTGTCACCTCTGAAATGGCTCTTGGCTTGTGGACTCCCATCCCTGGAAGTGTCCAAGGCCGGGTTGGATGGGAGCAGCCTGCTGCAGTGGGAGGTGTCCCTGCCCACGGCAGGGGTGGAACTGGATAACTTTAAGGTCCCTTCCGAGGCAGCCCGTTCCATGAGTCCCAGATTCCATGATTAGGCCGTGTGCAGACAGAGCTGAGGCCTGTGCAGCCCCGGGGTGTGCCGGCTGTGCACGCCCGGGGTTCTTTCTCACGAGATGGTGCAAGAGCCAGGGGGGAACTGGTTAAACAGCGTGAGCTGCTGGGGCTTGGCAGGGCAGCATGTCACCGGGAAGCCGGTGTTTTATTAAACACACTATCAAAGTGGGCTAAAGTCTCTTATTAATGTCCACAAATTTTGCCACTTCCAAATAGTTTCCACCTACACGTTCCTCCCACTGCTGCACTGGGTGCTGGCAAACATCTCTGCTCAAAGAGGGGAATGGCTTTCATTTGAATAGTCCTGGGGCGAGTTTCGCTGAGCGATGCCAGCGTCGTTCCCGCAGCTCTCACGTGCCCGGCAGCGCTCCAGGGTCGTGCCGGAGGGAGGGCACAGAGACAACAGCTCTTGCTGTGTTTTCCCAGTGCTTTATCCAGGCAGAGCCCATGGCAGCCTAAGCCAGTGCAATGAAGCAGCGATGGATGCACATATTTGCAATATTAAATCTCGACTCGTGACTCGTGACGGTTCCTGACGGTTCCACGGCAGCGAGCGCGGCCAGCTGTGCTATCGAGAGTCACACACGGCTGAAACCGCCCGGCTTCACACCAGATCGGGCTTTTGCAACTCCCAGAAGGCTGGGGCAGAGCCCGGTGGGTGTCAAACTGCTCCTCGCACCGCGCCTGAGCTCCCGCGGTGTCCCTGGGGACCGGCCGCGGCTCAGGGCTGTGCGCTCTCCCCCGCCTCGGACACTGCGGCTGGGAAAGGAGATGTGCAGCTCTCCTGGGAGCTCCGGCAGGCTGCATGCCACGCTGACCGCACTCTGCAGGGCACAGGCCCCGCGGGGATGGAGGCGCTGTCCCCCGGCGGAGCCTCCCGCCCGTGCCGGAGCAGCAGCCGCGGAGCTGCCGGGCTCGGTCGGGAGAGAACCCCGCTCCCAGCTCTGCCAGAGACAGCCTGGCTCCCGCAGGAACTCTCCCTGGTGCGGAAAGCACGGGGTGTTCCTGCCGAGGATGCCGAGGGCTGAGCGCATCCCGCCCGTCCAGCCTCGGCAGGGCTGAGCTTTCACCTCCGGTGCCAGTAACCCGAGCCGGGATTGCTGGAAATGGGAGAGAGGGAGAGTCAGCGATTTGATTACAGGCCACAGGCACATGCCTGGCCTTCATGGATATATTAAGTAAGAGACATTTTAAAACAAAACCACCCTCAGTAACCTTATCGTAAGCTCGAATCCACAACCCATCTGTTAACTCCCGGCGCTGCCCACATAGGCTTCCATCAGACAGCAGCGCCAGGGATTTTTGGAACGTTTTCCCCCAAATCCCCGCGGTCGGAAGGGGACAGTCCCGGGGAAAAGGCAGATCCTGAGTCTCGGATTCCCAGCCCGCCCCCAAACTCTCACCTTCTCGTGCCTCTGTAAATAACTGCAAATCCCCTTGGACACGAGCTGTCGCGGTCCTGTGACTCCCAGCCCTGCTGGAGGAGCGCTCAGGAGAGCTGCTGCTCCACGGATGGCTTGAGGGAATTCAGCCTTTCTAAACATTTTGTTGCTGCCTGAATCGTGTGGTGTAAAGGAGCCCTCCATGTAGAAATAATTCAGCTAACACAAGCGAGAAGGAGAATTGATGATTGCATCAGTCCTTGCTCATGAAAACTGATCCCCAGGAAAATGTAACTCAACTCTCGAGCAATCTCACTTGATGCCCAAGAATGTAATAACTTCATTTGGATCCTCCTTTTAGGGGGACTCCTAAATCCTTGGCAACGTCCCTTAAGGTCATGAGCAAATCCTGATATGGAGAATTGTTTGGCAAGCACGAGAACAGTAAAAGGGCTAAATAATTGGGGATTACCTCTGACCCTGATTTGTGGCTCACCACCCACTGCAGGAATGTACCAAATATCTGAAGGAGCATGCAGGAGTCAGACAATCCACGGGCATGAAGCCGTCCACGTACTCTTGGAGCCTGAACTTCAAATGCAGAGCAGGGTGGCCCCAAACCTCATTTTTCATTAGCAAAAGGCTGCAGCAAGCTCTAATTATTTCTGTTGCCTTGGACAAAGGGTCAGTGATGGGACAGATGAAAAATTGTCTGTGTTTTTTTCACTCTTTGTTTGGAAAATAACATCTTTGGTCTTGGGGGCACAGAGAGAACGAACTGTCTGCTGCAGGGCTCCTTACTGAGGCTGGCTACAGCCCCCTGAGCTGCAGCAGGGGACAAACACATCGCCCCCATGTCCCTGATGGTTATTGCTGAGTTTGTTCCGTGCCTGCAGGAAGGAGCAGCTCTGCTGTGGGAGCTCACAGCTCGCAGCTGTGGCTCTGTGCTGCTCAGAGCTCCGTGCTCAGCCCCAAATCCTCTCCTGCACGGTGCAGCGGCGCTGCGGCACCACAGAGACCCTCAAGGTCCTGCCCGTGGCAGGGCTTGGATCGAGATGTCTTCAAGGTCCCTCCCAACACAAACCATTCTGGGATTCCGTGATCCTGGCCATAACCAGCAGGTTTGCAGGCTCGGTGTCAGACACTGAGAGGACCATGCTGAGTGGGACTACCCAACATCTGTTTTGTGGGAGCCCCGAGGCACTGATACTGCACTGTGTGTTCACACTGGAGGTGCTGCTGGGAGCTTGTAGAGGAGATTTTGGGCTTTTTCAGACCTTACATTTATGCCTAGCATCTTTGTGAGGCTCTGACTTCCCTTGGGATTCTTCCTGGTAACAGCAGACACCTTTGGATGGGGGTAAGCCTTAAACAGCTCTCTCCATCACCCATCCAAAACCTCTCTGTGCTCTCATGTAGCACCTCCTGCCCTCGGATTCCTCCCGAGGTGGAGCAGCCAGGACTGTGCAGGAAATAGCAGCAGCTCAGTGCTGGAGCTCTGCTGTTCCCTTATCTCGGTAAATGCACCTTTTATCAGCTGAGCCTGCCTCTACTTGCTCAGCACTCAGCAGGGAAGTGACCACGGCCCCGTCAGGAGAGCTCTGCCTTGGCAGGCACACACCAACCATTATCATTGCTGGGCGTTGTGCAACCGCTGGCATGGGCATGGCATGTCATGGAAGGGTCTGGGCTGGAGGGGACCTTAAATTATCATAATTCCACCCTGCCATGCTCAGGGACGCCTTCCACTAGACCGGGCTGTTCCATGCAACACTTGCAGGGATCCAGGGGCAGCCACAGCTTCTCTGGGAGCCTGTGCCAGGGCCTGCCCACCCTCACAGGGGGGAATTTCCTGCTGATCATAGAATCACGGAATGGTTCGGGTTGGAGGTTAAAGCCCACCTCGTTCCAACCCCCTGCCATGAGCAGGGATGGATACTTTTCACTGGAGAAAGTTACTGCAAGCCCTGGATACCCCCAGGAATGGGGTCCTACCACCCCAAAACTGCAGCAGCACCATTTCCCCAGAGCCACATTTTAGCAGCTCTCACTTATTTTATTTTTTTCCCCCCGTTTCCAAACTTCCGCGGCTGCAGCTTTCTCCGGGTCCGTGTTTAGTGCCTGTGTCGCTTTGGGGGTGATTTTTTTGGTTGTTTTTTTTTTTTCTTTCTCCCCGATCTCGGGAGGCAGCAGCAGTACGGCACGGTATGGCCGGGCATGGTATGACAGTGTATGACACGGCATGGCACAGCAGGGCACAGCATGGTACGGCATGGCATAGCATGGTATGACACTGTATGGCACGATATGGCACAGCATGGCACGGCACAGCACGGCAGGGCACAGCACGGTATGACACTGTATGGCACAGCATGGCACAGCACGGCACGGCAGGGCACGGCACTGTATGACACTGCATGGCACAGCATGGCACAGCATGGTATGACACTGTATGGCACAGCATGGCACGGCACGGCACGGCAGGGCACAGCACGGTATGACACTGTATGGCACAGCATGGCACAGCATGGCACGGCACGGCACGGCAGGGCACAGCATGGTATGACACTGTATGGCACAGCCTGGCACAGCACGGCACGGCAGGGCACGGCACTGTATGACACTGTATGGCACAGCATGGCACATCATGGCACGGCACTGTATGGCACGGCACTGTATGGCACGGCACGGCCCGGCTCGGCCCCAAGCCGCCTCCCCCGGCCCCGCCGCGCCGGGACACACGTGCGGGGGGGGCCCGGAGCCCCGGCCCCGCCTCCCCCCGCGCCGCCGCCACGTGAGGCTCATGTGACGGCGGGGCGGGGGCGCCGGGGCCGCCAGACGTGCCGGCGGTCACAGGGCTCCGCACGTCGCTCCCGTCCACCCACTCGCCCGCATTTAACCCGGCCCGCGGCCGCCCGCCGCTCCTCAGCCCGCGCGGCGCGGGCGCGGCATGAGCAGCAGCAGCGGCAGCGGCACCGGCAGCGCCCGCAGCCCCTGCCCGCCCTGAGCGCCCCGCTCCGCCCGCGCCCCCCGCCATGGAGCGCATCCCCAGCGCGCAGCCCCCGCCCGGCTGCCTGGGCAAGCTGCCCGCCCTGGACGGCGGAGACCTGCCGGGGTAAGCGGGGCTCGGGGGGCTCCGGGGGAGCGGCCCCGCCGGCTCCGGGACGGGGGTAACGCGCTGCTCTCCTTTCGCCCGTGCAGGCTGGACTTCGCGCACATGTACCAGGTGTACAAGCCCCGGAGGGGCTTAAAGAGGAGCGAGGACAACAAGGTAAATGGGGGGTGACGGGGTGCACTGAGGGGCGATGAGGTAAATGGGGGGTTAACGGGGTAGATGGGGCTTAACGGGGTGACTCGGCCGGTGCGCGCCCGTGACAGCGCTCCCGGGGCGAGGGCTCGGCCGCTGCGGCGCGCTCGGGACGGGCGGAGCGGGGCCGGGCGGGCTGCGCTGTCCCCCCGCTGACCCGCTGCCCCGGCCCCCCAGGAGACCTACAAGCTGCCGCACCGGCTGATCGAGAAGAAGAGGCGCGACAGGATCAACGAGTGCATCGCGCAGCTGAAGGACCTGCTGCCCGAGCACCTCAAGCTGACGGTAGGTGCGAGCGGAGGGACGGGGCTCCCCGCGGCCGGCGCTCTGCTGCCGCTTCACCGCCGCTTTGGAGTGGGTTTTTATTTTTTTTATTTTTTTTTAATTTTTTAATTTTTTTTTTCTCCGTGGTGCGGCACGCCCGGGGCAGGCTGTAAGCGCATCCCAAACTTCCCCGGGAGCTGCGGATCCCTGCGGGATCTGCCCGCCGGGCCGCCCCCCCGCACCGCTGCCGTCCCCGGCCGGGCTCCCCCGGTCACCGTGCCAGCAGAACCCATAAATGAAACGCTTCTTTCCGGGCTGTGCGGCTGATCCGAAAGTACCCGCAGGGCTCCGTGAGAGCCTTTTCCGTAGCCCGCTTTTGAACTTGTTTCCGTGGAATGTTGCCGGTGGTCGTCCTGCCTGCTCAGGCTCTCCCCGTGCCCGTCCTCCCGCGGCTCCCGGGAGGCGCTGGCAGCTCCTCCTGCGTGGCCGAGCCGGCGGCGGCTGCCAACCCGTCCCTGTGCTCCCAGACTCTAGGTCACCTGGAGAAGGCTGTGGTTCTGGAGCTCACCTTGAAGCACGTGAAGGCGCTGACCAATCTCATCGAGCAGCAGCAGCAGAAGATCATCGCCTTGCAGAACGGTTTGCAGGCGGGTGAGTGTTCAGCCGGCAGGGCGAGAGCCTGAGTGTGTGTGATGGGCTTTCCCTGGGGAGCCTGTGAAATGCGGTTGTGACACCTTGTTCCCGGGAAGGGAGGAGACAGGAATTCTGGCCTTTCATGCTGTCATTTTCTCAGGCTTTGCTTATGAGCTTTCACAAAAAAAAATGATGCATTGCTCAAGATGGTCAGTGCAGAGTGCCGTGGGAGTTGTTTGAAATTAAACTGGGTTTTAAGTAGTTTTAGTTACAGCCCAGGTTTGCTGTGAGGTTCTCTCCAAAGCCATTCGATTCTCCCCGTTTGTGTTTGTGAGCTTTAGATAACCCAGTCTGGTTTATTAGGTTGTTTTTCTCTGGCAATAGATATAAATCTGCTTTCTATACCCACCTTTTTAAGTTTCTTTGTAACCGAGCTGGGCTGTGCTCTGCAGGCAGAGGGGACCCGGTGCTTCAGCTTATCAGCCTTAGATGCACTTCCTCCTGCTGTTTTCACATGTGGCTCTCACGTGAATCGGATACAGTAAACCCGAATTTTTCGGAGGCGCCTGTCCCTGCCCCGGCAGCCACAGGGAGTGCAGTGGAGCTGCCGGAGCAGCGGAGTCCCCTGGGGCTGGCGGAGCTGCTGGCAGGGCCGGGAGCTCCCTGCCCCGAGGTGCAGGGCGAGGTGCACCCTGCCTTCCCCGGGGGTTTCCTGGAGAAGCCACAGCTTGACTCACTCCCCTCTCTGCACTCCAGTACCTGCTGAAAGTGGATTTTACAGTAAATAACAAAAAAGAGCAGGCAGCACTTTACATAAAGTTATTATGTAAAAGTGGACGGGTTTGTCCATTTCTGGAGAAATCTGGGGATTTCTGTTCACAGAGTCCAGCTTGGCCATTGCATTCCCCTCTGGCTGTGCTGTAACTCAAATCCAACATCGCCTCCGGTCCGCCTCGGAGCTGGAAATGGAACTATTTAGCATGTTGTTAATTTTTAATTTCTTTCTGTTAATGTTTCCTTAGGTGACCTGTCATCGAGAAACCTTGATTCCAGCCAGGAAATGTTTCGATCCGGTTTCCAGATGTGTGCCAAGGAAATGCTGCAATACCTGGCAAAGCACGAGAACGGCAAGGAGCTGAAGTCGTCGCAGCTGGTCAGCCACCTGCACCGGATGGCCAGCGAGGTGCTGCAGGGCGGGGCCGCCCGCAAGCCCGGGGACATCCCTCCCAAAATGCTGGACTTGAAGGAGAAGCCGGCGCCCCTGGGCGCGGCGGGCGAGGGCCACGGGAAGAACTGCGTGCCCGTGATCCAGCGGACATTCGCTCACTCCAGCGGGGAGCAGAGCGGCAGCGACACGGACACGGACAGCGGGTACGGGGGAGAGCTGGAGAAAAGTGACTCCAAATCGGAACAGCCCTATTTCAAAAAGGATACCGACCTCAAGTACGCTGTCCAGGAGAGAATAAGCTCTATTAAGCAAGAGACTGAGGACCCGCCGGCCAAAAGGAGCAGGCTGGAGTCGCCGCAGGACGAGGGCCCTTTTGGCAGTGACGTGATGGGCTCTGCCGGCGGCTTCCTGGGCCCCCACGCTCACCAGCCTCCCCTGTGCCTGCCTTTCTACCTGATCCCGCCGTCCGCCACCGCCTACCTGCCCATGCTGGAGAAGTGCTGGTACCCGGCCTCGGTTCCCGTGTTGTACCCCAGCCTGCCGGCCTCTGCCGCAGCACTGACCGGCTTCATGAACCCCGACAAAATCTCCCCCCCTCTGCTGATGCCCCAGAGACTCCCTTCTCCTGTACCAGCCCATTCCCCCATCGACTCCTCGGCTCTGCTTCAAGCTTTGAAGCAGATTCCTCCTTTGAACTTGGAAACCAAAGACTGAGCGCAGTGTGACTGGTTTTTCTTTTTTTTTTTTCTTTTTTTGTTTTTTTTTTTAGTTTGAGAGACTGTTTCACTTTTATATATTGGCTGGACTGAGGTGTGGGGATGAGGTTCACTGTGCGTAGGAAGCTAAATCCCCTTTTCTCTGACTTGTCAGGTAGCTTGAAGAAGGATGAAGGATGCGCCCAGGTTAGCAATTGACAACTACTTCCAAAAGATTAAAGAAGGATTTTGTGCTTGGCCCCTTCCCTTCTTCCCTCTCCACATCTACAGAGCAACAGTTGACTCGGTCAGCTGCGAATCTATTGCAAAGCTGTGAAGAAATATTCCATTGGGCAGACCTGGTTTGAGGGTCTGCAGATACAAAATACATGAATATAAACCACGGTACTTCCCTGAGCGGCCCTGGAGGCAGCGGCCCCGCTGGCTCACCTGAGCTGGGCTGCTGTCCCAGTGACCCCGAGAGTGGAGGGTGGTGGTGGCAATGCCACCGTGAGCACAGGGGGGAGCAGGGCAGTGGTCACTGTGGTGTGGTGGTGGCAATGCCACCGTGAGCAGTGGTCACTGTGGTGTGATGGTGGCAATGCCACCATGAGCACAGGGGGGAGCAGGGCAGTGGTCACTGGTGCTGGTGGCAATGCCACCATGAGCACAGCAGGAGCAGGGCAGTGGTCATTGGTGATGGTGGCAATGCCACCGTGAGAACGGGGGAGCAGGGCAGTGGTCACTGTGAGGTGGTGGTGGCAATGCCACCGTGAGCACAGCAGGAGCAGGGCAGTGGTCACTGCAGGGGCAGCAATGTCACCAGGAGGAGCAGGGCAGTGGCCAGTGTGAGGTGGTGGTGGCAATGCCACCATGAGCAGTGGTCACTGTGGTGTGATGGTGGCAATGCCACCAGGAGTCCAGAGGAGCAGGCCAGCGGTCACTGCCTGGTCACACACAGGTCAGGCAGACCTAAGACAGGTTCCTCTCCACACCTTTGCTGATACGTAGATTTTTTTTTTTTTAAGAAATAAAAGGTAGCTGCTGCTTGGAGCTTTCCATGGCGTACATCTAATAAATAAATTAACCTGCGCCCTTCCTGTAACTTGAGCTGCTACGTTGGGCCGGCTCGGGAGGAGCTGTCCCTGGGCTGGTGGCAGCGGCTCCAGCCTGTGCCCTCCCTCGGGAATCACCGCGGCTTCCCCGGCTGCTGCCGAGGGAGCGGCTCGGGCAGCGCCATCCATCCCTGCCGAACGCGCCCTGTCAGTGCCTTCGGAGAATGGCAAGGCTGGGATTTTCCAAGGAGCCTGATCCCGGCAGCGTTTGAGCATCTGGATTCCTCCTGGCACACCTGGCTCACATCCCGTGTGAAGGAGAGAGGGGTCGGGTGGTGATGCTTGTCCTGTGAGCTGCAAGGGGCTTTCTCCACGGAGGAACATCCTCTCCAGTTTAGCTTCTTTTTAATTAAAAACCCCAAACTTCACTGCTAAAGGCAGTGCTCTTTGGCGGTTTTTTTCTTTCTGGTTTTGAGAACTGGAGAGCAGAACCCCTGTCTGGATCCTCATGTCGCCCTCCCATTGCACCAGCTGTTGAGATGCACTATGCTTGATTGCAGATTGTGTTCTAACGTTTATTTTGTTGTTGGTTTTTTGGGTTTTTTTGGTATACAGTTGTTGCCTTTATTTGTAAAATCCTGTTATAAATATATATATATATTATATAAATATATTAAAAGTTAAAATGTTTCAGATGTCTATTATTTGTATAACTACTTGAGCTTAAAGAAGTGAGAAATATGAATGTATTCTTGTTTCTGGGTTGTCTTTTTTTTTTGAAGAGAAGAATATTCCGTTTTTCTCTCGGGAGAGGTACAGTGTTTATATTTTGGAGCTGCCTTCAAGGTGGGATATTGTACATATTTTTATCTTGAGTAAATGTTAAGTAGCTGTTTAAAAATGCTTAATAAAATAATTCTTTTCCTGTGGAAGATAAGGGTTTGCCTCCTGTGCTTTGAAATGTTTGAGCAGGGTCATTCCACATGGTCTGGTTCCGCAGGGGATGGCACGGGGGGAGCAGGAATTTGGGATGCAGGGGGGGATGAGGGATTTCGGGGTGCAGGGGGGAGCAGGATTTTGGGGTGCAGGGTGGAGCAGGGCTCTCCTGCTCCCCCCACAGCTCCTCTGCCGTCGGTGCCTGAAGGAGCTCAGGGTCCCATTACCCATGTCCCCAGGGATATTTATTTATTTTAACTCCCTTGGCACCTCCAGGGATTTTTTTCCTTCCAGACTCGAGGGAGGTGCCAGGAGGGCCTGGCTGGCTTTCCTGCTCTCTCCTGATGTCACGTTGTGCTCCCTGTGTCTGGCATTTGGCTCCTGGGCCCCAGGCTCTGTGGGGAGGAGGCAGCCCCTCACCCTGGAGGATGCAGTGTCTCCACAGGCTTTGCCCAGTTCCTGGAGGAAAATGGACTTGCTGCAAACTGGTTTCACTTCAGCACCTCCAGCCTGTGTCTGAGCAGCCCAGGCACTGCCAGGGACGGTGCCCACCAGGTCCTGGGGCTGAGGGGTGCGAGGGTCAGGTCCTGCCTGTGCTGGAGTGATCCCTGCCACCCCCACCTGTCCCAGGTGTCCCTGATTTGGGAATTCCAGCTGGCACTGTGGGTGGGGGAGCAGCCTGCTGCCTCTACTGCCAGTGCTGCAAAGTGAGCCTGAGGGTAGGGTCCTCACCCCACCACGGCTCCTCTCCAGCAGCAAGGCTGGCTTCTGGTCTCCAGATGAAATGACAACAACCCCAAACCTCCCCAGAGGCAAAAGAGGGGTGAAGCAAAGGGATGGCTGGGAGGACTCAGTTTCCCAGTGGTGCTGCCTGTGTGTGGATGGGGCACGGGCAGTTCTGAGGAGTATTTGGGATTTCCACTGTGCAGATGAATCACAAAAGATGGGGAGTGGTTTCAGTGTCCAACTGGGCCAGCACTGCTCAGTCCTGGGCTGAGCATCTCCAGGACCCCACATGGAGAGGCTGATGCTTCTGGTAGACTGTGGTTAGAACTAAAGAAACCTTAAGTAATGCTAGAAAAAAATGCTGCTTGGTTTGATGTGTTTGGGGTCTACACACGTCCCAGCGTTCACGTTATGTTTGCTTTAATTAGGGCTAAATATTGATCTTACTGAAGCTGACTGTAACAACCCCACTGGGGACAGCATTTGGTGCTCAGCGCAGAGGTGCCTCCAGCCTCAGGACCCCCTGGATTTCTGGCTCCTTCCCATGGCTCCTCTTTGGTCCTTGTATTCTGACCCCCTTGTCCTGTGGTGGGACGAGCTGCAGGACTTCCAGATCCTCAGTCTCGCAGGAAAAAAATTGCAGAAAAAGTGGAAGAGGGAACATTCACTCAGGAAGCAAAATATTATCATGGGCTGGGAATTTTCTCTGCCCCCCTGGCCTGGTGCCAGCAGGACAGGTGAGCTCTGTGGAACAGAGTGGGGCAGGGGCTGCACCCGTGGTGGCACTGGGTGGGGACCCCTGCAGCCCCTGCCAGAGCTGCATCCCTGGGATGGATGGATGATGGAGGAAGGAAGGAAGGAAGGAAGGAAGGGAGGAAGGGAGGAAGGAAGGAAGGAAGGAAGGAAGGAAGGAAGGAAGGAAGGAAGGAAGGAAGGAAGGAAGGAAGGAGATGGAGGGATGAGGAAGGAACTTTTTAACATTTGGTTTTACTTCTCTGATCCTGCTGTGACTTTCTCAGTAATAAATTCAATTCATATCCCTAATTCCAGCCTGTTTTCTTGTGATCATGACTGATGAGGGATCTGTCCCTGTCCTTATCTCAAGCCATGAACCTTTGGTCTATTTTCTCTCCAATCCAGCTGGGAAGGGCAGGGATGGACCAGCTTTGGTGGGATCCAGCCAGGATCCCTCTCAGTACAGAGGGTCTGGAGGACACCTGGGAATTAAGGGATTTGTTTTGTTTGCTTGGCTTGAGCAAGCCAGTTCTGAAGGGCGGGGAAGTCACCAAGCTGGTTCCCATCCTGCCTTTGGCATCACCTCCTGGGGGAGAGAGGCCCTAATTCCACATCCCCTCCCAAACTCCTCTGGGTCACCAGGGGGTTTCCACCCTGCTCTCACCTTGAGCACAGAGGTGAAGAAAACAGAGCAGCCCATGAGCACGAAGATCATCAGGCCAGTGACCCTCTGCTCCCGGATCCCCAAGAACTTGGGCTGCTCGCCCGGCGCGGAGCAGTCGGACTCCACTTTGAGGCTGTTGACGTGGGTGATGGACAGGACCGTGGCAGCCACGAACCAGGGCAGCCCCATCACCGAGCACACCCCGAGCATCACGGCCACCATGAACAGGTCCAGGTGGTACCCACAGCCTTTCTGGGGAGCAAAAGTGGAACAGGAGCATCCCTCAGGGACCAGGACAACACCACAGGTGGGGCTCAAACCCTGTTTAAGCACAGGTCAACTTCTGAGAAATTTAAATAAGGTTTGAAATAAAGGGAAGGGAAGGGAAGGGAAGGGAAGGGAAGGGAAGGGAAGGGAAGGGAAGGGAAGGAAGGAAGGAAGGAAGGGAGGAAGGAAGGAAGGAAGGAAGGAAGGAGATGGAGGGATGAAAGCAAGGAAGGAAGGGAGGATGATGGAGGGGCGACCCCCGGCACGGCGCCAGCCCGGGACAGCCCGTCCCGCCGGGGTGTGCTGAGTTCCCGGGCTTGTTTTCATGGTCTCACCCAGCTCTGACCTGCCTCAAATGTTGACACAATGTCACGTTTCCGACTGCAGTCTTTCATGTGCAGCCGGAGGCTAAATACGGCTGCTGGTTCCTGGAAAAAGACGTGCCTGGCACCCTTTCAGCAGAAACCCGATCCCCATGCAGGCTTGGCACAACAGCTGAATAACACAGCAATAACTCTTTCAGCAGCATTTCAACCCATAAATAGGGCTTCCCGAGCGACTCCTTGAAGTCAGACAAGGAGGATACAATGATTTTGGGCAAAAAATTAAAAATAAATGAAGTTAGTGTGCGTGAAGAGCGGGTGGGAGGGGGCAGCGGGGTCAGGCAGATCAGAGGGTGCCGTGGAGGTGCTGAGTGAGGTTTGCTGAGTGGGAGCGCAGGATTGCCTCAAAAGGAAAGAAATGCTCCTGAATTTTTTAATGTCTCGGTCCTGTTTCATACCAGCCCCGTGGAGGCACAGGGAGAGCCTTCCTGAGAGCCAGGGCCTTTCCTAACCCCGGTGAGGACACACAGACACATAATTTTAGCTTTTCACCACCTGTTTGGAAAGCTCCCGTAGCCGGGCGCTGTGGGACTGGATGGTTTTTACAGGCATGTACCTCGGGAGCTGCTTATTTGCATTATGCATGGACCAGGGCCTAAAATAATCTGCAGTGACGCACTTTTTTTTTTTTTTTTTTTGCTGTGATTTTTACCCCCCACCCCCCCTTTTCCAGGACTCCGTTTTTCTGAACGTGCCGTGACTTTTGAGGACCACGCATGGTTACCCAGCCCCGGGCACTGATTCAGCAGCCGGGCAGAGCTGGGGGAGCTGCCCCGGCCCCAGCCCCGCTCCCCCGGCCGTGACACACGGAGGGAGAAGTGCCCTTGTGCTCCGCCTTGGCTTTCATCTGCAGAGCGTGTAGCTGCAAGTGCGGCGTGTTTACAAATGCAGGCATTGCAAGATCCCTTGAACTGTGTCCTAGTACAAAAGAGGCTTTGAAACGAGAAACACGTTGTCATGGCATGTTCCAGGCCAGCAGCACCAGACTGAACCAGATAATTGCTGTTTCTGCTTCAGCGTGGAAAAAGCAGCAGGTCTTGAGCAAGTCCTTTTTTCCCCCTTAGACATTTCGTGTGATGCTCGGGATGGGAGGAGAGCGCTGGGAATGCCCGGGCAGCGGGGGCAGAGGCAGGCTGAGCTCCCCAGGGCTGCAGGCAGGATGACTCTGCTGGGCTCAGCCCTTGTAACCGTAGCCCGCGGGGCTGGTGACACCGACCCTGGCTATGTGACACGGGGTGTCCGTGTTTTGTAACGCTGGCGTGCTGCCGGGGCCAGGAGATGTGGCTCTGGCTGCTCCCTCGTGTTCCAGACCTTTCCCACTGCCCTTCTGCCGGCGGTTCACGGCCCTTGAGAGCTCTCCCGGTGCCTCCCCAGCCAGGGAGAGCTGCTAATTGCAGTGACCATCACTGGCCTCTGCCCCAGGAGCACTGGGCACGGCTCAGGGGTGCCCATACCCTGGTACCTTCACTCCTGGGGTGTAAGAAATGGAGAAAAATATTTCTACCTATTTTGGAATAATTTATTTCTTAGACATGTGTCTTTCTCGCAGGTGTGTTTCTGCCCCAGGCACATCACCCTGTGGAGGCAGTTATTGCCATCACAGCCAGGGCCTTTGGAAATGGCCAGACAGGAAAGCTCTGCATGGGAAGGGTTTTTCACCACTTGTGCCTTGTTAAACCTGCAAACGGAGCAGGCTGGGTAACACCACACAGCTGATGGAAACAGGAATGCCTGCAAATAAAAGGCAGCTCCCCCAGCTCCTCTTGTGCTTGTTGCTGTCCTGGGCTGCTGGGGGCTGCCTGGGCTCTGTCCTGGGCTGCCTGTTCCTGCCATCCAACTCTTTGCACCCACACGGAGGCAGGCCTGGCTAAGCAGGTGGGTGTTTGCTGTGGGATGGACCCTTGCCCAGCCCTGCCCGTGTCCATGAGTGACCCTCTGTGGGGTGACAGCGCTGATGGGAAAGGGCTGGCTTGCCATTA